AAATTTATCTATAAAAATGCAAGTTTTCAAATTTAAACCTCAAATCTCAAATGGAAACATTCAAACTTTTGAATTTAAATGTCGCACAATCAAGTCGACTCTATCGAATATCGATGCATGCCATCTCGACTTATCGAGAAGTTTGCGGAAAGTCGAAATCGCAAAAACCTGTAATGGCGCCTAGTGGACGCTAGTAACAGCTGTGCGTCTATAGCAAGCGGTACGTAGTGTACGCTAACGCAGAATTTGTAAATTTATATTAAATATACGTGCCGTGAAGTTTATAGCATAAATAATAAATTCGGAAAAATTAATTTCATTGTATGTGTACAATGAAATAAACGAAACGAAACGTGCTTGGAGCAATATAGGTTATAGTATTGTATTTTTCATGCTTCCGTGTTGTGTGTTTATCAGAGTTGTGTGTTTATAGAAATTGATTGAGAAACTAGAAATTATAATAATGTCAAGCAGAAACGAAAATAAAGGACCAATTCCACCACGGTGGCTTCATTGTCCACGGAAAGCAGTGAAATTGATTCAGAATAAATTTCTCGCATTCAAAACTCCTTTGTCATCTGCATTTGACAGCCAAGTGCCAGAAGAATGCCGTTTCACAGTGGACATGTTATTCGCGTCGTTGAAGAGTCAGAAAATAAAGCTAGGCCTATGGATTGACTTAACCAACACCACGAGATTCTACGACAAGAAAAGCTTAGAAGCTTATGGTTGCAAGTATTTGAAGTTGTCATGTAGAGGTCATGGTGAAACCCCGTCTGAGGAACAGACTAGAACTTTTATACGAGTTTGTAAGAATTTTATATCGTATAACCCGTTGGAGGTTATCGCTGTTCATTGCACACATGGTTTCAATAGAACTGGCTTCCTTATAATTAGTTATTTAGTAGAAACTGATGGAACTAGTGTTGATGCTGGTTTAGTAGAATTTGCCGCTGCAAGGCCACCAGGCATATATAAAGCTGACTATATTCAAGAACTCTTCCGAAGATATGATGATGTGGAGGATGCACCTGATCCAGCTCCTAGACCTGCATGGTGTTTAGAATATGATGACTCAAATGTAGAGGATACGGATGAAGGTCCTAGTACAGACAGTGATAATTATAATCAAGATGTATCTAATAAGAAGAGAAAACGTGAATTTAACAACAAGAATCCAGTATTTATGGCTGGTATACCTGGAGTAACTCCTATTTTGGAAGACAGAAAATTAAGTGGTATACAGAGATGTGTTCAAGATATTTGTTCTTGGAAATCAACTGGATTTCCAGGTTCTCAACCAATTTCTATGGATGAAGATAATATTAGGCTGTTACACGAGAAACCTTATAGAGTTTCATGGAAAGCAGATGGCACCAGGTTAGATAGCAATATACTTAAAATATTAAAGATGGTAAAATATTGAAGACAGCTTAATAATGTATTGACTTTACTTGCTTAGGTATATGATGATGATTCAAGCAGATGGAGAAATTTATTTTGTAGATAGAGATAATAGCGTATTTCAAGTTAATGGAATGACTTTCCCACATCCAAGAGACATATCTAGAACTCTTAAAGATACATTGTTGGATGGTGTAAGTATCTTTCATATCTTTTCTACAAGATTTCTAAATTTTTAAATTATTGAATTAATTGATAGAAATAATTTTATAGGAAATGGTGATTGATAAGGCAGATGGTAAAGAGTATCCAAGATACTTAGTCTATGATGTGGTAATGTACGATGGCAAAGATGTTAGTAAATTGCCATTCTATCCTGATCGTTTTTGCATCATTGAGCAGAAAATTGTAGCCGGTAGACATAGAGCAATGAAGGAAGGAAAATTGAGAAAAGAAATCGAACCTTTTTCGGTTCGATTGAAACAATTTTGGGATATAACACAAGCAGCTAATTTATTAAGTGATAAATTTGCTAAACAACTAGGTCATGAGCCTGATGGTTTGATATTTCAACCTGCTAAAGAATCTTATTATCCAGGACCTTCTCCAGACGTTTTAAAATGGAAACCCTTATCGCAGAATTCTGTTGATTTTAGATTAAAGATAATCACAGAATCTGGAGAAGGAATTCTTCCCAAAAAAGTTGGATATCTGTATGTAGGCGGTATGAAAGAGCCCTTTGACAAAATGAAAGTGAATAAACAGATAAAAGAATTAAATAATGCAATAATTGAATGTAAATTTGAGAATGGTCAGTGGGTGTTCATGCGTGAAAGAACTGATAAATCATTTCCTAATTCATACAATACAGCTCAGTCTGTATGCAAAAGTATTATAAAACCCATAACCACTGATCGACTTTTAGATTATATTAATAGGCATCGATTTTTGCAAGATGATTCTGATCTTATGCCACCACCAAACAAAAAACGTTTGAACTGATTGTTCGTAGCTTATTATGTAATTTAAGATAACTATTGTAATTAATTTAATTATTTAGTATTTAAGATATAGAAGATAGTAGATTTATTGTGAGATTTTGATTGGTTTACAAGGATAAAACTTGTATCTATCCTATTGTACTCCATTAAATTTATTTTAATTGCTGTAAAATTGTAATTTTAAATTGTTCGCTCAATACAGAAACTTTATAATAAATTAAATGTTTTTTTTTTTGCTTAATCTTTCCTATTTAATCCTTTCCTTGTCAGGATTACTTTATGTCTTTTGATTAAAATAAATTGTAAAACTGTAATCTATGATTTTTCAGATAGAACTGTTCTGTTATGGTACACAAAAGAATTGACAGTAAAAGAAAAGAGATCGCTACGTGTTAATATAGAATTTGATCATGCGACTTTAGTACGCTGGTCTCCTGACGGCAAAGCTTTCCTCATACATAAAGCTGTAGCAAATACTATTGAAGTTTATAAAATCTCCAAGAAACCAGATGGTACTTTAGCTTCAGCAATTAAAGCTTTAGAATTTACGAAGGTACCTACTAAATTTTTTTCTGTAAAATTGTTTTTTATACATAAGTTTCATATTTTTTTGTTATTAATATTTCAGCGGCATATTGAAGATGTTGTTGGCATGGATATTGCATCTACAGGAAAGTACATTATTACATGCAGTAAACTAAATGATCTTGTAGTATGGGATCTTAAAGGACAAGTGCTTGCAACTATAGAATTGCATCTTGGATCAACTTACCGAGCACGAATATCACCCTGCGGACGTTTTATCGGCACATCCGGTAATAATAATCTTTTGTTATTTAAGATTTATATTATATATTAACGATATTTTATTATTTAGGATTTACTCCAGACGCAAACATGTGGGAAGTAATATTTAGTAAATCAGGAGAATTCAAACAAGTAGCAAAAGCTTTTGATCTTGGTGGTCATTCATCTGGAATACTTGATTTTACTTTTAGTGCTGATAGTAGTTGTATGGCTACTGTATCGAAAGATGGAACTTATCGTCTATATGACACAAAAAGTAAGATAAACCGAATTATTCTTTTTGAAAATTAACCTCGTCCCTGATTGTTACATTTGTCGATTTATGTTAATAGTTGAATTTGAAAAAGGAGAAGATCCTCACTTACTTCAAACTGGACCATGGGAAAATACAACAACGGCTAATATTGCACTATCTCCTAATACAGAAGTGTTAGCGATAGCTCATGGATCTTCATTAAGTTTTTATTCTACAATTACTGGCCTGTTGGATGCTACTATAGAAGATATTTTTCTAGGTTTGTTCTTTTTTATTTCATTGTGTAATTTATCATAACTTTTGCATTTTTGTATTCATATGATACTCGTGTTACAGGACCTATTACATGCCTAACTTTTGATGCTGTGGGAGAATATATTTTAGTCGCTGGAGATAAACATACAAAAGTTTTCCAAAATATTACTGGCTATCGAGTAGCAATCGAATCTGCAACACGTAAACTTACGCAGAAGCAAACGTCGGCTACAAAAGAACGTTTAAAAAAACTTATTGAAGACAACAGAAAATTTCTACAAGCAGTGGGAGAAAAGTGTCCTTAATCAATTAAACATAAATTCTTTTTAAGGCAAATGATTTTGAAGTTGTATTTAAAACAGATTGTTTGTAATATTTTTTAATGTATTTGAATAAAGACATTCATACGCAAATTCACTTGTTTATAATAATAATATAAAAACATTTAATATGCCTAACTTCATTGTTTTGTAATATAGATTACGTTATAATGCGCAAAACTTATAATTTTGAAAAATGCGGACAGAGATAGATATATTAATTTTGTTGACCTTGAGCATGTAAATATCTGTTTCTGACAACATTGTTTCATTTATATCATTATTCTTATTACCAATGACAGTTGTACAAAACGTTATGCGAACTGCAATAGAGGTTTGTCATTAATTAAAATATTATTTATATTATTTGTTCTTATACATTAAATATATGTATCTTGCAGCAGTCAATTTCCCCAGTCGAATGGGATTTCATTAACGATTTAAGTGCTTTACCAGAAGATAAAGATGTCAGTATGTATATATTTGCTATAAGATTTAAATATTAAGCAATAATAATAATATGACAGAAAATATTTTAAAAATAATGTTTCTCAGTTATAGATTTTCTTTTTCAAAGATTACAACGGAGTCAAATTTATACATGGGTTGGCTCACTACTCCTGACATTAAATCCTAATAATGAAGTATCAACATCTGATTTGTATAATTCTTCAGAATTTGATAAACATATTAATACATCTGAAGCAAGTCCTCACATATTTGCTATTGCTGCTAAGGCACATTATAATCTTCTAAAAGAAATTGGACAAACTTCTCAGGTAGAAAATTCATTAAAAAATTAATAAATTAATTTTTTTTTTAACTTATCTGTACATCATGTATTAAGGTAATTATTATAAGCGGAGAAACTGGAACAGGGAAAACATTTAATGCTTATAAATGTCTAGACTTTCTTAGTAACATTAATAAAAAGTCAGTACATTTGTCTCAAGGGGATTGTGCATTCAATATTATGCTAAGAATTACAGATGCTTGTCATCTAATATCTACTTTTACAACTGCCTGTACTGAAAAAAATGAAGTAAGTTCAAGACATGGGCAACTTATAAGGCTTCATTATAGAAGTGGAATTATTTCTGGTGCAACTATTAATTCGTTTCTTTTGGAAAGAAGTAGAGTAACAAGAGGTGCAAACAATTTTCAAATTTTTTATCAGGTCTGATTTATATTTTTTGTTATTTATTTCTATGTAACATATCTGTAAGAAATACTAAAAAATATATTTCAGATGATATTTGGAATGTCGTCGGCAGAACTTGAAAGTTTTTATTTATCTAAAGATAAATATTATGATGTATTAAATGTCACGGATTATAATAAAAGAAAGTATTTTCAAGAAAGTTTCCAAGATACTCTAAAGGCACTAGCTGCATTGGATTTCAAACTTGATCAGAAAAGTGATATTTTTCAAGTTCTTGCTTTATTGATTCATATGGGAAATATTAAATTTAAAGAAGATGGTGAAATATGTGTAATTGATTTTAATAATAATAGTATGTTGTGTAAATTATTTTATATACATAACATAGAAATGAGGAATTTTATACAACCATATTTACAGAATCAAAGGAAGCTGTAAAAAATACTTGTGATCTTAGTTGTTTAACTGAAGAAACTATCATGGAATTGCTTACTACTATTCTTATAAATCCACAAAGTATTTGGCGAAAACACACATCATATCATCGACACCTTGTTACTATTGATGCGTGTCGTAAAAGATTACATGGTATAATCAGGCATATGTATGATCTTCTTTTCCATTGGATTTTAAATCATGCAAATAAAACTTTATCTTTAAAACAACAGTATTCACAATGGCTTGGTATGTTATAACAGTATATTTTTACATTAGAAATTAAACAAATTATATATGCATATTTTCTTTAGGTATATTGGATATCTTTGGTTTTGAATGTTTTATTAAAAATGGTATAGAACAACTTTGCGTAAATTATGCTAATGAAAGAATACAACAATATTTCATAAAAACTTATGTAGAAAGTAATTGTAATAATTTGCAAGAAGAAGGTCTTATTGAAAGTTGTGTACCTTTACATACTATCAATTTATACAAAGAACGTCTAAACATTATTGAAGAAAATTTATTTTTAACCTTAAATGATGTATGTACAAAATTCATATTTAATTGTATATAAAAGTTATTATTACAATAACATTGTAATTTTTATATTATAGGTTTGTCAATCACCAGTAGCGATTGATACATTAACAATGATTCAATTAGCTTGCAAAAATTTACACAATACACAGAGAAAATTTTTAAGTGTAAAAGGAGAAAACTTCATTATAGAACATTATTCTAGGCCTGTTGCATATTCCATAGACGATTTAATGTCTAAAAATACAGATAAGGTATTAAATATATTTTACAATGAACATTATTATATTATATTAACATTATTATGTTAAATATATTTTAGAATGAACATTATTAATAATTTTCAAAACTTTTTATAGGTTCCAAATGAAATTTCTTTAATTTTCAGTGCAAGTAAAAATAAATTTCTTCGTTCCTTGATAAATTTTGGGGAGGAACAATATTTACATATCGTAAAAGCATCTACTACAAAAAAGACTATGTTAGCTAAATTAAAATATAATATGGATACACTTATTAAGGAACTTAGCAAATGTGATCTGCATTACGTACGATGTGTTAAACCAAAGTAATATATATTTTTTTACAATTATTTTTTTATACTATCGTTGTATTTAATAATTAATTTTTTTTAGTCGATCGATAAACAATGAATGGGACCGAAAAGACTTTCAAAAACAATTAGCATGTATTGGCATTTTTGATGCTCTACCTTTAGCTAAATGTAAATATCCTTTTCGCTTGTGTTATCAAGACTTTTATTATCGTTATTTCAGAAAACCTACAAGTAAGTAGTGCAGATATTTGTTTGTTTATTGAGATATAAAAGAAAAATATAAAATAAAAATATTTAACAGAAATGATCGATCTCGACAAATGTAGACTGATTCTGGAGTCAGTTGCATCTCAAAAAGATCTACAAATACAGGTTCATTTTGGGAAGCAAATGATATTTTTAACAGAATTTATTTTTCTTAAATTGGAATCTTATAGAAGGAATTATCGTATAAGATGTGCTAACAAAATAAAAGCATCCTGGATAAGGTACAGTAAGTATAACATTTCGTCTATTTTTTTTTTTTTATTTTTTGTACAAAATTTTATTTGCAGAACGTAGAAAATTGGCTACTTCAAAATATTTGATTAACTCTGCAGTACAAAAGGTACACTTCACGAACAAAGATGATACAATTGTCGAAGTTACACTTGACCAAGAATTGGCAAAATCAAATACTTCCGATGGGAATGATATATTTCTTGCTAGTTTCATCCCTCAAAATAATAACGAAATAAGTTATTCAAATATTGCAATAAAAAATGAAGAAGATAATGAAAATGTTGGTGCAAATGGGAATCTGAATAAAATTTATTCAGAAAATAAGAATGAAAATGAGAATAACTCGAAAATATTAATAACGAAAATATTAGGAGTTTTGGAAAAAGTACATATTTTTAAAAACTGGCAAAACAAAATTAGAAACCTTAAATACCAACTCAATGATATACGAATTAAAAGTTATTTTGAAAGTAATACTATAAAATTTATGAAAACAATTAATTTTGATTATTTTTCAAAACTCAAACATAGTAACGACTTATATACATATATAATAATATAGTATTTATTAATTATAGTATAATAATAGTGACAATTTATTAGAACAGTATTTAAATAATATTAAGTAAATATAAATTCTGTAAAAAGCATCAATAAAAGAAGATAGAGTTGGTATTTTTATTTGATATCTAAATATTGTTTTAATATATAAAAAATTAATTTTTTTAGGACAAAATTGTTGCCATTGAAATGGATTCTTCATTACTTTTTTATAGAAATAGAATTTTAAGTCGACGATGGCTTGCTGCAGTATGTATTTTAAAATTGAAATAATATTAAAAAGTAATACTAATGTTAAAAATATTTATTTCAGATACCGATAAGAATGCATACTCGGACTACATGTATGACAAAATCGTATGTATTGCCACGTAGTGTATTACCGCAAGGATTACAAGACTGCCTTTAATAGAGAATTCAGTTTTCCTGAGATCAGTCATTGCTTCAGTCTTTATTGTTAATTTAATAAATATATCCTATTATAGCTTTTAACAATATACTGGAGACGTTATAAAAACATACTGCTATAAGTAAAGTTATAAATAACAAATCTTAAATTTTATATACAAATACAAAATAATGTTTTTTCGCTTTAACGAGAAAACACTACAATGTTTATATGTATTTTGAAACAAAATAAAATCCTTTTAAAAAATAATTTTTGTTTATATCAAAGACCATCCATAAAATTATTAATTAAGTAATCAAACATATTCAAATATACAAATTTATAAATAACTATATACCAGATTATAAGTATCATAAGGTCTCCTTTTATCTCTAAGTACTAATAGCCTTCGTGATGCCACTGAAGCAAATTTAGCTTTTACTTCGCTTCTTAATATTTGATAATTCGCTCTCAAAGTAATTCGTCTTAAATTACTAGGAGGTACCGGTCGTCCACCAGCGAACGCAAATCTAAAATTGTATTTAGAATATAGAAAGATATATACGAGAATATTCTATTCAATCGTTAGACGTAATAAAATTATATACCTTATTTCTCGCCGTGGACCTCGTAGTGTAGAATCGGTGAATGCTGTTTGTTTTCTTACAGACTTAACTTCAACGTATTTTATCTTACTTTTGATAGTAATAGGAAGAGAAATCGGTTTTTTATATACATTTACTGTGCTCTTATAATGAAATGGTAAATATGGTAATAAAGAATCTCCATAATGTTCTATAAAAGGTTCAATATCTAAGACATAAGCTTGTGACCTTATAAGAGCACAAATACTAAGCTACAATTAAAAAGTATATTAGTACTGAAAATATATATGTAAAAAATATATTTTAAAATTAACTTACAGCTATTTTTTGCCATAAAATCGAACCGGGTAGTGCAAATTTTAAAACATTATGTACAGAAAGTGGAGAGTCTATCTTCTGTTGGAAAAGTATTAAAGGTTGAATACTAGCTAGTAACTCCATAGCCATTATGCTTTTCTTATTACCATTTATATCTATTTTTTCTTCCTTTAAGAGCATATTCTCCAATGTGGAGATATATCTTTTAACAATAAAAATCAATTTTATAATAATTCTATCATCGTCGAATAACATCTAAATATATAATAATTTATTTACCTGTCAGCAACAGATGGCCAACGAAGCATTAATTTTAGTGTACATTCCTTAAAGAGTGCTTCAAGATTTGTATTTATGAAATTCTGTCCTAAAAGTAATTCCAATAGCAATTCAGTGAGTTTATCAACCTGTAATAAAAAAATATATATTGAAGGTCTCAAAATATTATTTTATAAATCAATTAGCATAATTTACATAATCTTACTGCAAAATATTACCGAAGTTAAATGGTATGGATAAACAGCCTCACTGTTGCTTGCAATTGCAATAATAAGTTGACATGTTCGAGTTGATACTCTGGTATATTGTATATTATTCGAAATTATCATAGATCTAGCAATAGACATTAATTTATCTATTACTCCCTCTCCACTCAAATGAGGATTAGTGGCACAATCATTAATTAAAACCTATAAATTATATATGTTATAATATTTATGAGAAAATTTTATTTATATATTTACAATATAATTTATGAAAATTATATACATTAAATTTATCACACCTGAAATGTTTTCTGTGACCCGTTGAATAATGTTTTTAATGCACGTTTTGCATAATTATTTCTTGCTTCTGTAAGTCTTATATCACATATTTCTGATTCTATAAAACAAAATATATTAGTACAGCAAACAGTGTTAGTACAGATTACAAATTAATAGAAAAAATAAAATATACCTAGAATAAATGGTACGCTACTTTGTAATATATTAACTGGATCATTAATTTTTTGTACTAGATTAATAATACGTTCATTAGGAACGAAGACCTTTGCTTCTGTGTGGTATTCAGGCATAGATTCTGATGCGCCTAATATTGGATCAACATCACATAAATTGGTAATCACAGCATTCACATCCGTAGATGTTAAACGTTTCCGTTTGCTATGTTTTAATCTTGTTACACATTTCTAAAAATTGATTTTACTTAGACTTACTGTTACATTACTTAGACTTACCATTATGTTACAAACATATATCTTCAAGGTAAATTTAATAAATTTAATAAAGAATATATAATAGATATAATATAGATATAATAACGTATATACATGTAGAACTTCTCTGAGTCGATATGAGGCATCTTCTGCAAGTCTTTTTAACAAAGAGTCTGGTAAAGGATACATTCCCAGTTCTTCTCCAATTGCAGATATCCAATCTGTACTAAGTACAGCATATCTTCTCGCGTTATTATCGTTTGTACTGTTGCTGTTGGTATCTCCATTATTGTTAACGAAAGAATTACCGTATCCTGAACTAGTTTGACTTGCTAACATCTCTCTCATGATTTGAAATTATACAAAGTATAAATACTTCATCTACATATGCTGATTTTGAAACAATATGGCTGGCGAAATGAAAATTACATTGTTCATTGTAATTTCTTTCGATTCTATGGTAGAATATTTTTTTTAATAACATTAAATAAGCTGCAACGATGTGTCGATAATTCTCAATTCAATGTAAAAGTACCAATTTACTTTATTAAATTTCATTAGAATTAATAACAAAATGATATTGCCGGTACAAATGGATGTATATATGCATATACATATATGTAGCCCATGAAACCTGAAAATTATAATTTTGTCCTAAAGATGTCGCCAAGACTTGCCGAAGCTTTCTTGTTTCCTTGTCTATTTCACGAAACGAATTTATCCATCATTGTCTTGCTTGAAAGCTGACGTTTAGTAAAATTTCAAGAGGCGTCGACCAATCGGAAGTGTCGACGAAATTTACGCACGGAAATATCACTGACGTGTCCAAGGGAAGGAGACTTCGAGAGTTTGTGATCATTCCCAGTTTGTGCAAGAACATTAGCTGGAAAACAATAGTGCTTAGCGTATCGTATTGAATTACGGTATATAATCTGTATAAGCAAACGAAATTATGGCGGCGGTGTTAAATACATTTGTAAACTCTTTCACTAAGAGACTGTAAGTATTTTTTCTTAAACAGCCTTTGTCGAATGTCGAACATTTCTGTTGAAACGATACTTCCATCATCGTCGTTCTAACTTTCTCATTTCTTTTTTTTGTTGGTTTCTCATAGCTGTAGCCATATCGTGATTTTCGAAATATATGTAGTAATGTTATAAATCACAAGTTGCAAATGTTTAATAAAAATGTTTTATAAAAATTGGTCGAATTTTTTTTTTTACGCAACTTTGAATAAAAGCAATTAACATGATATGCGATTTTTCGTTATCTACGTTACTCGTACGTTGCGTGGCCTTCGAACATATACATATGTATATTCCGGAACTTTATTAATGTGAATATTTTATGTAGTGAAACTTTATTTGCGAGCATAGTATGATGTATGACGTGTTACTAGTTACATCGAGCGTGAAGTTGCAACTACTACTACTTCCTTTTTTCACAAATAGTTCTTACTTCTTTTCTGATACTAGTTTTAATACTTACTAACTTTCACTTCATTCTTAAATTTCATTTATATTATTAGTTTTATTCTTGTTGCGATATCATAAGATAACTTTCCTTATGGAAAATTCCTAAATATATAGAAAATATGAGAAAAATTTATAATTGCAGGGAGCCTCCTGTTAGACAACACTTAAAAAATGTCTATGGGTGTCTGTCTATGTCAACACTATCGGCTACCGCAGGAGTTTACATTCACATGTACTCAGAGCTGTTGCAAGCTAATTTATTAACAACTCTTGGTACATTGGGTTTGCTTTTTGCTTTGATCAGTACACCAGACAATGGGAAAAATCAAAAGTTACGACTTAGTTATCTTCTGGGATTTGCATTCTTTTCTGGACTTGGTTTGGGTCCTTTACTTCAATTGGTTATGAGTGTCAATCCAAGTATTATTGCAACAGCATTGGTTGGTAAGTTATTATAATTTAAATTTATCTTTAAAAATGATAGATAATTATGGTAATTCGTTTTCTGATCATCAAATTATTATAAAAATTATATGATAATATTATTTTTTTAGGAACAACCGTTGTATTTATGTCATTTAGTATTTCCTCTCTTTTGGCTAAAAGAGGACGTTGGTTATATCTTGGTGGTATTTTAATTAGCTTGCTAAATATTATGGTTCTGTTTTCATTTGTGAATCTGTTATTACGCTGGTCTCTTTTCTACCAAGCCCATTTGTACATTGGACTGTTTTTAATGTGCGGTTTCGTTATTTATGATACGCAATTGATTATTGAGAAATACCACATGGGCAGCAAAGATTTCATCCTACATTCTTTAGATCTATTTGTAGATTTCATTGGTATTTTCCGCTACCTCCTCATAATCCTCACGCAAAAGGTAAAAATCATAAACCATACATGCACATAATCTATATATTAATCTGTATATATGAAATATAAATTTTCAAATATCTGATAAATATGAGCTACTATGATGAAGTGAATGTGAAATATTAGTGTGGATGATGAATGATTCAGGATTGAGCACAAAAATTGAATGTTTAATTTAGAGTACTGGTTATAGATGAAAAAAAAATCTGAAAATATACACGAGATTTGAGTCACATAGTACTACATAATAAAAATGCATGTTATGTGGATCACGGATAGAATCAGTAGATCGTAGAATACAGTTATAGCTTATAATAAAGGAAATAATAATTCAAGATTTTTTTTCAATTATTTTAACTCTATTTTTACATTAATCATTTTACAGTTTTCATCTTTTTCAACTATGTTTAATATGTTTAATATGTGAAGTATTCACACGTATGACACATTCTTATCATGAATGATATGGTAACTCAAATTTCACTTATGTACGTACTTAGAATTATTTCTTAATCGTAATCAGTTCTCTAAACTAAACATGTAATCTCTTTCCTTTCATTCAGAATTATCACATATATTACAGGGAGCAGATAAAATGTTACAAAATATTTATAATAGCTTTCTAATCTCCGAAACTATTATAGATATCAACTTGAAAGTTTGAGATGTTAAATGATGCGATTAACATTTTAGTGTACAAGATATGGGAACTTTTATCTGAAGCGATTTTCTTTTTTGTCCTATGTTAATTAAGAAGTTACTTTGCGAAGAATACTTTACACAAAGAAGTTTCATGTACATCAAAAGATAACAAAGGAATTTATTCTGCTTTAAATATTATGTTAATGTATATATTACATTTCTTAAATATTAATAGAAATGAATAAACATTATCTTTTTTTTATGAGTATGAATTCGAAGTAAATCTCTTCATAGAAATTGTTCTCTTGGGCGTATCCGAAACCCAATACTAAGGATAAATATTTATCTGCTCTATTTTCTTCGAATGTAAACATTTCGAATTTGTATTTTTGTTTATAAAACAAAAACAATATTCATTCATTTTTATTAACACTTAAGAAATACAATAACACACTTTTAAAAATGGGATGGCATTCTTTTCACTTCTAAAGAACTTATCCCCAAATTATCTTACATAATACTAAAATAATTTGCATCTTTGCATCATTTAAATTTCAAGTCGATATCCATAATGTTTCGGAGAAAGTTTGTAACATTTTATTTGCTCCACTTTATATGTCGGTGTAATTTATTTCATCACAGTAAATCATGCTCATCGCATGGTACAATTTACTAATATGTATTTATTATTTTTATTCATTATAGGAAATATCAAAAGATCAGCGTAAACGCAGAGATTAAATGAGAGCAAAGAAAGTTGTAAAATATCATACCATTCAAGTAAATCCATGAACTAGAGGTCTTCATCCTATCTATTCATATGTAAGACGTATATTTACTATGATAAAATAAATTTAAATAATACAGCTTATCATTACATCAGAAAATTTTTAGGAATGCATTGGTCATAAAAACGCAATGTATTTATTTCGAATTACTTAGTTATTTTTTTTTCAATTATCTATTAGATTTATATACATGTATACTATTAATAGATATAAATTTATTGTACTATATTTTTATCTTTCAATAAACAAAATTTCCCAGCGTTTCTAATCTTTTTTTTTTTTATTTCTAACAATAGTTTGTAACTGGATGATTTGTAAATGCAAATAATATAAAAATCAGTGTTATAGATTTGAAGTCTTATTTATTAAAATGTAACTTTACACATATGTTTATCATTTACATACATATATAAAACACAAAAATTACACATCACGCATCGATTTTTGTGAATATAAAAAATGTACGAGAAAACAAATCGATGATAATGGAGTGTAATATGATTTCTGTCTTATGACAAATGTACATACGTTGAGATTGTGTACAAACTGTGTACATACGTCAATAAGTGAGTTATTAGCCACTTTTTAGACCGCATTTAATAAGGACGCTGACGATCCCTGTCCCTATCCCCTCGGCTAAAATAGAAAAGAAAAAAAAATTAATAATAATTTGTCATTTTTCATTCAACGCAATTAAGTTAATTATAAAAACCAACCCTCCACCGCCTCTCATCGGACCACCTCGTCCACCTCTTCCTCCTCTATCTCCACCACGAAAACCTCCTCGACCACCCCTATCACCACCTCGACCACCTCTATCACTTCTGAAGCCTCCTCGACCACCTCGGTCACCACCACGATTTCCTCTTCCCCCACCACTGCTACCACCAGCACCTTGTGGTTTTAAACTTTTGCAGAGGTTACATTGATCCCTCCATGCGAAATTTGTATTGCCACATTCTGGATTAGGACATCTGTTTAAATAATATATTAAACAAGTTATTTATAAAATTTCTTATAGTACATTAAATATATTGTTATATATATAAAATCTACGGTACCTCCAATCTCCTCCACGACTACCTCCATCACGTCGATCATCACTTCCACCACCTCGATGATGATGATCATCTCTGTCACCGCCACCGCCACGACTTCCAAAACCACCGCTTCCACGACCTCGACCACTTCCACCGCGGCTTCCACCACTACGATTACCTTGCCAATTGCTTTTGTGCTGAGCAATTTGTACTTTTATAGTTCGTCCTTTGAATTCTTTTCCATCAAACCAGTCTATCGCAGAACGTGCAGCATTCTGATCATCATAAGTAACGGTAGCTTCGCCTTTCGATTTACCAGTGTTTTTATCTTTGTACATCCATACTTTAGGTTTTCCTGTTCGCTTGTCATGCTGTTTATATTAAAAGACATTAGATTTATTTATTTGTTTATTTAACGTATTTTGTGTACTAGCATGATATACATAGCAAGGTATTAAACTTACTTTGATAATACCAATGGCTCCAAAATGTTGACAAATTTCTTCTTCCGAAATTGAAGGATCCATACCAGATACAAAAATTGTATCTTCTTGCGTAACCATTCCATCATTGCCACCACCACGGTCACCGTAGCCCCCTGTAATTTAATAGAAGTTAACATTTCGCCTAGCACGAAACTCCTTGAGGTAAGGAATGATACTTGCAAATCTACTGACCCTAAACCTACTCAAGTCTAAGCTAACAAGTGGAAAACTTTTGTATCGGGTTAAAAACAACTAATAACACAGTACACATTGGAGGAATGAAATTTTGCAAACCATATGGAACTTTAATCTATTATAATTTTTGTTATAAGAAAGTCCCTTACAAATATCTCTCCCCAATGTATTCACATTTTATATTTAAGATCATTTTAAAATAAGAAATAAACTTAAGTACTATTGTTTCAAGCAAAAATATTTTGTTCCTCTTTCTTCTTGAAGCATTACCAATATATTTAGAAATTATGACTTATTCTAGCAGTGAAAATATAACAACTTATTTTGTTTAATAACCATTACCCATAAATAATGTGTTTCTAAGTGAAAAGAAACTTCTTTTGTTGCATTATGTACCAGGAATATTGTGATTTACGTATGTTGAAAAACATACAATTACTTTGACATTAGTTTTGATTTCAGAATACGCAAATTTTTTCTTGCCTATAAGTGATATGTCTTTCTTAACAACACTTGAGCTTTCTTAATTTGTTCATTTATTACACCACTATTATTTACATGTACCTATCTTCAATACCTTGAGTATAAAGTTATCAATTCAAAGGTATTTTTTTCTGTTTGACCCGTGCAGTAACAAAAGTATTAGTACTCATTGGCCTAAGATTCTTAGTAGCATATAACAATATGTAGAGAACACAAGGTTGCAGCTTAACATACAAAAGGGCTGCAACATTATTTTTGTTCTTACCATTTCCTTATATTGTATTTTTGGGGATTTAATTCACCAGCTGCCTTTTATATATGTTTATTATCCGGGGATGTTTTAAGATATTGAAATATATGAAGCGTGAGCAGCACAAATATTGATTGAAGATAAATTTTCCTTTATACAACTTGTATATACACTTGGTCGTTTTTATACATAATTAAATGAGATTTAATGTTCAAAGCGCATAGCGCATTTACACCTCAAATTAATATTTAATCAACTTCAAATTTTTGTAATCTTAGTTATTCAATTTTATATATAATATATAGAAACGCATAAAAAATTAATCTCATAAAAATTTATTGTCATTGGAAAAAGCAATTGGTGATCAAAGCAGCTTTTGTCATGCTGCAGTAACATCGTCATGTGTTTTACAGCTACAGTCTTTTTTAAAGCTACACTGCTAAATTCTGGCAGAGAAAACTGAACCCCTAACAATGTTGTATAGCAGCCCTTTCATATAATACGAGTAACCGAGTATTTAAATTTTAAATATTAGAGTGAAAGCTTGAATAGCACCAGACTAGTACAGACAGTCTGGTGCATTTACCTTTGTTATAACCACCACGGCCACCGCCACTGCTAAAACACAGAAGCAGATATACCAATGAGTTGACTCATGGACAGACTGATCGATCGATCGATGCATGGCGAATCAAATGCTGCTCGCCACCTCTCTTCTTGATGTACCTACTGTCTAAATGTCTGTGGTCACTATATTACTTAATACTAAATATAAGTCCTGTGTACCGTCATGTTAGTCCGTTACGTCCAGCATGCAAAAATCATGTTTTTTCTCTGCATAGCTACTATTAATAACTTTGCGAGAAATAAATTGGTCAAGACAATCCTGTGCAAGAGATTATCCTATTTACGTCAAATGTACATGAATCTTCTATCTGAGAATTTATTGATAAAGGATTACTAAATATTCATTAACATTTGAAGCACACATATAATAAAACCAATAGAGTAAAAGTTGGAAAAAATTATGAATTATTTTGGATAAACAACTGTGATGTTAGTACAACATTAATATCCTACTACGAAGAATGTATTAAAGAAAAATGTATTAAAGAAACACTGATATATTCAATGAAACTCCAACTTATATAATACTTATATAATAATACTATTTCTATTATAGTATAAACTGCGATCTGTTAAAAGGAACTTTAAACGTCTTTTAATTGTCTAGTCGATTTCAATAACCCTATTCAGACAACAGTGGCCCCAGTGGCAGTTTAAACCGTTTTACAGGTATAATCAATACAAAACCATTATGTATACACATCATGTCATCACTTACTGTAATGATATAAAATCAATATGTACCAGACATTACAACCATATTACGTCATTTGTCATATACAACCTGTTTTTTACCTTTACCAGTTATACCTGTGTTAAACCTGTAGGCACACTTCAAACATATTAACGCCCAATGGGCATAAAGCCATTTGTAAAGAGACAACAATTCAATTATTGTCATAAGAATTTCATTTCATACCTTGTTTACTTCATGAATGTATTTACCTCTCCACTGATTAATATTGTTATGTGATTCAACTTTTTTATTGACCTTATAGTTTTTTTTTCGCTTTATTATATATATATATACGTATACGTATATGTATATGTATATATGTGTGTGTATAAATAGTACAAACAATAAACTTACTTGTAACTACCGCCAGAGCGGTCACTGTATCCCCCACGATCACCATATCTACTGCCACCGCCTCCTCCTTGACCTAGGTACATATAGGTACATGTTATCATATAAAGTCTGTTATCTTAAAAGTAAAAAATTACAAAATATTTTAAAATTCTAAATTGTAATATTTAAAATACCTCCACCATAGCCTCCACCAGAACTATTACGGCTATAGCCTCCACTGCCTCCACCTCCACCTCCACCTCCATGACCATAACTGCTATTATAATTGCTGCTGCCACTATTTCCAGAACTTCCACTGCCATAAGTTTGGTAACTGCTTGGATTTTGTGACTGATTGTAGTCTTGGCCACTACTGGAATTGTAACTGTTGTAACTGCCATAATTGCTTCCACTACTCGGTGGTGGTTGACTATATTGATTATAACCACCACTGCCACCACTAGATGGTGGTGGGTATGAAGTATCCTGACCACCAGAAGGTGGTGGCTGATTATACTGATTATACCCCTGTTGTTGGTAATTTGAATACTCTAAAACATATATAAAACGTATTAATCATTATTAAAGAATTTAATATAAAATCTTAATTGTGTTAAATGAAAATTAAATTGAAAATTATATTTTTGGACTTATTATAAATGTTTGTGTTTTGAAATATTCGTAATTCTTATTTTTTCGACCTCAAAATATAATTAAAGATTTTTCAATCGCAATTGTAATGAGAATTTAGTATTATTAATTATAATTACAGATTAAAAAAAAAATATGCAGTACACATCGTGACAAAATATTGCAAAAATAACACAAATACTAAATATAGCATACTAAGAGTAGCATTTATATATCAAATTGTACAAAATGGAGTAAAAAAAGTAGGCCGAGACGCTTGGAATGCCGATCAATAAGTTTACGTGAGGATGTACAGAAACAGAGAACGTTAATAAAATTTGTATTTTGGTCTATGCAATTATGCACAATCATTAATTAATTTGGAACAATAGTTTTAATAATACATTATAAGCTAGATTAAATTGACAGAAGCTTCAAACGTGGCAATACAATGAATTACAGCGCTACACGCGTTACTTAAAAAATTCCTTTCGGAATGATAAAAAATCAATTTTCTACTATTATAAAGTGAATTGTAGATTTCAACGTAAAAATCTGAAGTTTTTCTACTTACGGTTGTCCGTCATCGTGCCTTCCTTCGGTAATTAAATTACTACTGGGCACGTAATGGCGGGAATGAAGCGATTTTCCAACAACGATCCGAACAGTCTACTTTCAACGGTAGAACTTAGTATTTCACTACCGGATATTGACTGTACAAGACGGAAGTCTTCTGTAATAGATGGCGTTGTTAGCCATGTGAGTTTTAAACTGTCAGTTGACTACGTAGTAATATTTATAAATTCAAATTTGAAACAATTGCTCAGTAAATGTTTCATTGTCAAAACGATATCTCTAAAATTAATTCTTTAATCAGACAAGATCTAATTAAAAAATACTTTCGATACTTCCTTAGCGAATTTCGTGAGGGAGAGAAAGTATAGAATAAAGAAATCTTTTATACTTTACGATTTTTATTAATTTTGTATCATAATACTACATGTATTTTAAATTCTCAATACAATGCATGATTTCAGTTTTGTTTGTAAACAGACCTCATTGCATTTTCATAATTATCATAAAAAACATTTTCAATATAGCGATATTCTGTCGTTTCCTACCGTCTTGTTTTTTAAATATATATATTTACATCAACAGTAATATACTGTGCTTTCATACTACTGCTTCATCCATATTTATATCTTATAATTTATTAATAAACTAAATTCATTCCTATCTAAAAAAGTTCGCAGTTTTCGTATCAAAACAACTATTGTTGAAATTATTACAAAGAATTACTTGAGAAATCTCAATGAATCGAATATGTTATGATACATGTGCAAATACAAATTATACATATACCTACATTTGTAAATATAAATATATTCCTACACATTATCGTTTCTATAATACATGATAATATTATACAATCTTATAAAAAAAAAGAATTTTACAATTTTAAATTCGAAAGATTAAAAGCAAACATCAAAATCAAATATCAAAACATGTGTACATTTTCTAAAGAAAAGATACGTGTACAAATAATTCTAGTGACATTGATTAAGCGATCAGTTATTTAAAATTATACAGCACTGCAATATGCATCTATTTTCATCATTTATGTTTCTAAAACTAGATATGTGATTTTTGATGATGAAATTTTCGGCATTCCTCTTTCGAATTCAAAATAGTAAAATTCTTTCTTTCTAAAGAAAAGAAAGAATAATTTCTAAAGAAAAGATATGTATACAGATAATTCTAATGAAATTAAGCGATTTTAGATCAATTAACTTAACGAAAAAAATAAATTTAGATTTTGCTATAAAAATTGTGATGTTAAATCAAAAGTTAGATATAAACAGAAAAGGTGAAATTGAAGATCACGAGTTGGAATGTTGAGATGGTGTTAAACCACCACTATATTCAGGGCTGTGTTTTTGTTTTTTTCTTTTTTTCTCTTTCTTACGTTTTTTCCTAGCTTCTTTTTCTTCATCATGTCGTTTTTGCTTTTTATGCTTTTTCTCATGGGTATCTGAGCCACCGATGTCCGTAGTTGTTGCCTCTTGACCACTAGGTAGTTCTCCTGGTTTATGTTTATGCTTTTTATGTTTGTTTTTGTGCTTTCTTTGTGGAGCTTGGTTAACATAACGATATTGCTCAGGCAACTACAAGAATACATAAATGCTTTTTGTTTTTGTATATTTTGATTAATAAATGTCTTTATTAGAATATGGTCACATTTACTTACAGGACCAGGATGTAGACGAAAACCAGCTAATTGAACACTGGTTAACGGTATTAAGTCTTTTCCTCCTATTGGAGGTTTTTCAATCACAGATCTTAGTGAACTGAAATATGAAGTTGCAATAATGATACTAAGGTGTGTTAAGTATATCAATCAATATGATATATAAAAAATTATATTAATATACCTATTATCCAAATGTCCAGGTCTATCTATGATTCCAGGTAAATTTGGTAGAAATGATGAAAGCTGTTCTTTTAACTTTTTCCCACTGAATTTGCTATAAGAATGTTCTAGTCCATAATAGGTCATTAAGTTTGTTGCCCCAGTGAGTTCACTTTCTCCTAAACAATTTCAATGACAAATTATACATGTATTTTATAATTATAGATTACAACACTATATAACATGATAGTACAAAATGTTACCTGGGGGTTCCTTCATTAAATAAAATGGACCACTATGGACAATGGAAGGATTTTTACCCAGGGAAATGGTTGTTTTAAGAGTCCCTGTTGAATCTTGACGTGAAACAACAGGGGATCGTGCACCCCTGGGTGATGACTTTGGTGAATATTGTTCCACTTTGCTACGAAACTGATCGCCCATCATCATCCTTTAATTTATTTCATGGCACCTTCACTACAATTAATAAGCCCTGGCAGAGAGCATGTATGACTGTTAAAGTTAGTTTTGGTTAACTGATGTATGTTTACACTGTGTGTACACTACAATCTAAACAACTCAGTGTTATTATAAAATGTACAAGCACATAACTATAAATCACATATTAAGTCTACAATATGTTTAATGTTTTCGTGATTTCTTTAACTCAATTTTACAAAATACCTGTAATAACATTACACGTTTAAAATATCACCGAAATCTACTTTTCCATAAACTAAATAAGACACTAAGTGATAGTTTTATTAACATCTTGTCTCATTGCACATTTGGTTTCTTACCATTAACTAAGAACACAATAGATATTACCATTGACTAACTAACATAGACCGGACATTAAACGGAATTTGTGTCCCAGGGTCTGAAATACCGACCAGAAAAAATCACTAGAGAACTACGTCAAACAAAATGATAAAGTTGGCTCAAGAAAATGAGATCCTTTACAGTATTGTCAATTGTATATCTATTGACTAAAGTTAGTCAATGATTTTAAGTTCGATTTAAAGATAGAAGAAAAGAGGAAAAATAGTTAGTTTCGGGTCCGTTCGACTTCAGTTAAAAGAAATAAATAGTTCATGTATATTTTAAATTCACTTTACGTTCAATTTCAATAGAGAATATCGAAAAAGATATGTTTTTCATTATATCGAAGTAAGAGTTCAGTTTAAGAGGAAGAAAAGGGTTAGTTTAGGTGTACAAAAATATATTGAAGTTACGGTTCATTTTAAGAAGAAGGAAGTTAGGTTAGATGTGTTTCAGTTTAAGAAAAAGGAAAGAATTAGTTTAGATGTGGTTCAATTTATATTAAAGAAAAGAGTTAGTCGAACAAATTGTTTTTGGTTTTTTAAAAAAAAATTTTTTTTTTTTCGTACAAGTGTAGCTTCGATATGTAGATACAATGATCTATAAATAATAAAATCACCGTACTACAAAGGAAATTTTATACTTTATTTTTAACGTTTACGTAATACAGAATATAATGGATAAATGACGACTGTTTATTAATTTCTTAACAACTGTTATATATATTCCTGACAATTTGTTTGTAACTTCGTACCAACAATTTGTTGGTATCTCCGTGGTAACTTTTGATAAGACAATTGAATAACAATGTCGCTGGAATAGACGTTGCTACAGATATGTAGCGACATCTATTTAATCTTATAAAAAGTTACCATGGAGATACTAACAAATTATTGGTTACCAAGTTACAAACAAATTGCCGAGAATATATATATAATAGTAAATAAGAAATTAATAAACCGTCGTCAGTCGTAATTCATTCATTATAAATTCTGTATCATGTAAACGTTAAAATAAATTATAAAATTTTCCTTTGTAGTACGGTGACTTTATAATTTATCAATCATCGTACCTACAAATATGGAAACGGTGGCACCATCTGTCGGTAACTTTCCCACGTAAATGCAGAGTTTCGATATGGACATGATGGCGCCATCTGTCGGTAGCTTTTTTCCCACGGAAGTGCATATGTAGTAAAGTTATAGCTTTATATATAAAATATATATTTTTTAGTAGTATCTTCAGTAATAAGCAGTGATAAGACATGAAAGAAAGAAAACACAGTAACCAGAAGAGCTACTGTGTGCTACAAAGAAATCGCGAAAGAACATATTCAATACAATAACCAGAAGGATTATTGTCAAATCTACGTTCGACGTGAA